TAATAATTTATAAATTACCAAGGGCTCATGAGGGAGGGAAAGGGGGAGCAAATGAAGAGGGAAAAAATGAGGTGCTGATACCAAGGGCTCAAGTAGGAAGAAAATGTTTTGAAAATGATGATGGCAACATATGTACAAATGTGCTTGACACAATGGATGAATGTATGGATTGTGATTAGAGCTGTACGAGCCTCCAATAAAATGATTTAAAAAAAAGAAACCATAAAAAAATGTGGTAACATGTTTTAGCACAGCTGCCATCCAGTCCATTACTCGCCTTTCTATGTTCTCACCTTCAAGCAGATACTTTCATTTATCCATCACAAGGATTACTCTCATATATGCCCCATTGTCTTCAGCAGTCATTTTTGTCTCCTTTTGTCTCCTCCCCTCCCTTAAGGTCCAAACCCAAAATTTTATTATTCAATTAAATACGAAATGCTTTTAGGAAAGTGGGTCAATAGTTTGATCATGGACAACTCGTCTTAGGATTTCAATCAGACCCAATGGCTTATCACACAGTATGCCAAAGGGCCAATCAGTGACAAACTCTCTAAATGTTACTCCGCTGGATACAATCTAACATCACTGAGACAAGATGAGGAAAGAAGTTTCCAATTTTATTAACTACCTTAAAGTGCTGGCACAGACCTTCAAAATCAAAATATAGAAAAGTACTCACAAGCTCTCATAAGTTCATAAACCTTAGGGGGGCATCCTTCAGGCTGTTCCATTCGATACCCTTTTTCCAGTAGATCATAGACCTGAGACAGGTCAATACCTGGGTACGGTGACATTCCATATGTAGCAATTTCCCACAGCAGCACTCCAAAAGCTACAAAAGGGATTAAAGAAAAACAAAACAAAACAAATCCTCAGTGCTTTAATTTATTAGGTAACTTCACTTTGAAAGTTGGGGAAACATCCAGACATTGCTACAATAACACTCTTACAACATGACCTGGGCCTTTTACCATATCTGCCACGTGGAATTCTGCAGACACAGCCTCAACACAATTGTCTTTAAATTCCTCCACTTTTATTTAGACTGCTTTCCTCTAATGAGAAAGAATATGCTCCGAGCATAGATGAGGTCTAGGACATAATCAAACTATTCTTAGAACAGTGTGTCATCTTATTTCATGAGCTGCAGTTTTAACAAAGCCACCAGAGGAACAAGGCAAAAACAGATGCATTTAAAATCAGGTAAAATCCGCAGCAGAAAAAAAGAATTTGCCTGCTTTTAAAACAATTAGGTAACACGTTTTTTTCCCCTCCTCTTGACACAAATATTTATTGATTGATGTACAATTGAAGGTAATCCATAGGAATAAAAATTGGTAATCTACCCCCATCC